AGCTCTTGGTGGGCGGCCTTCTGCCTCGACCGGTTGGGGTGAGTGGATAGAGGAGAGAGAAAAGAAGAAAAGCAACAAGACACAACAATCAAACACTGATCAGGTCGATGTGGCTGGTGACTGCTCATCAGAAACATAGAGCTCCAGGGCCAGGGCAACCTGCAGAAAGGTACAGGGAGAGAGAGAGGACACACTACAAGAGAGAGGAGACACAAAGTTAGTAATGTGTAATGGTGGCATATAGAAGCATAGGGAGAGAGGAAAGGAGAGGAGAGGGGAGGAGACTTTAGTATAATATTCAATATAATACACAAATCTATGAGGCTTTAAGCTATAGGTTTCAAAATTAGTTTTGAACTTAAAGCCCTTCAAATCTATAACCTAATAGATGGTTTTTACTGACAAACAGGTGACACAGTGCACCTTGGCATTGTCTCTGAACTCTACTGGAGGAATGAACACCTTCTTCCAACTGATATTCCTTCATGTGGTGCTTTGATGATGGTGGTGGAGATGCTGTCTAATACGTCAGTCCAGAATCTCCCATATGTGTTCAACATTGTTTTTAAACATTTCAGTAATTTTCTCACTCATATGTTGGCAAACTGGTGGTCCTCGGCCCATCTTTACTCCTAAAGGGCTTGGCCTTTCCTAGATGCCACTTTTGTACCAAGTCATGATTGCAGTCATCTGTTGACATCACCTGTTTCAAATAGAATCATTTCATTGTTTTACCTCATTATTAGCCCTGAAATGATTTTACATACCATCCCAACTTTTTGAAATTTGCAGTTGTAGTATATTTCATTGTTATTTGATTTTCCCCATACAACTGTATGTTACATCCGTGGCCCTGTCACCCCCAGCACCTCATCAGCTGGCACGGGCTGTCACAGTAGCTCCACCCCCGCACAGGTGGGAATGCATTCTAGGCAGCGAGGCACACCTGCTCTCAATTACCAGACTAATACTTAAGAGGAGGGTTGGTGTGTCCTTGTTGCCAGATGATCTCTTTTGTTCTGGCTGGTAACCTGTCTTTGCTCTCATGACTAAGAAATTTCTTGTGTATGACCTGTTTTCTAGATTGTTGGACCTGATTTCAGGTAGTAACGAACTGATTGCCCTTATTGTTTTTTGAAGGGTCACTTTCTGTTTTCACTGTTTTCTGCGGACTTGTGTTGAGGACCGGACTACCCTCTGCTTGGTGGTTTCAGCCATTTTCATATTAGCACCATTTGGTGCCTGGATTGTGAACTGTTTCTCCAAGTGACACTCCTCAGGACGAGGAGACCAACTCTTGCTGGGACTGGTTGCCTGGCTCTGGATCCCAACTGTCAGCCGTCCTCACACCTTCCTGCTATCTGCTCTACCATCTGCTGCGAGCCTGATCCTCACCTTCTACGATGGTAGTACTGCACGTCGGACCAGTGATCTCCTGTACCAGCTCCTACACCTCCCCTGGACTGTTCTATGCCTACAATGCTCACCTGCCTAGAGCCAGTAAATTTTGCTACTCAGATCCTCAACAGCAGTATTGCCATTTCCATAGCATCCCTGTTACTCATTCTTATCCTCTGCTTTTCTTTAGCCAGCTGTGCCTCTCCTACAACCTCGGGTTTTAGCTCTAGCAGTCCAGTCATCCCAGCTGCCCTGAGATCAGCTGACGAGAACGGTTCTGACCACTGATTA